ATAATTTAGTAAATTTTGTTAATTTTTATAACATGTTAGTGTTAAATTTAAATTTGGTAAACAGTAATAGAATTTGTTGGGATGAAATGATAACGAAATTATTATTGCAACAAGTTGGTGCGTATATACATTTATTTGGTCATCATTCATATAAAACTATTTGGAAGTCTGTTGCAAGTGGAATTAATGAAAAAGGATACAATGTTAGTGCCAAGCATTGCAACAGTAAATGAAGGAGCTTGAAGAATAGATATAAATGTATCAAAGATAATATTGAGCAATTAGGTGGTGGTAGACGATATCGTATTCACTACGATGCTATCAATGACATTCTTAAAAAACATCCAGAAGTAACACCACTATCCTTAGCGTCCAACACACTGCTGGTTTCAAAATAACTGCTGATGTAGATATAGATTAGGATCAGTAAGGTTTACTAACATTTCTACGTTTTTTAATTTTACCAAACCTATTTGTCACATTACTAAATGAAGGTGTTTCTGTAGAATTATCAACATTATTCTCATCTGTACCTACATCAGCAATTATTCTGAAACCATCAGTGTGTGTGTGTGTATGCTGGATGCTAAGAATAGTGATATAATTTGGATGTTTCTTAAGAATGTCATCAATAACATCGTAGTAAATCCAATATCATCGTCTACCAGTACCAGAGGGAGATTGCTTAATGTTATCTTTGATACATTTATATCTTTTCTTCAAGCTCCTCAATTTACTGTTGCAATATTTGGCACTAATATTGTATCCTTTTTCATTAATATCACTAGCAACAGACTTCCAAATAGTTTTATATGTTTAACGACCAAATAAATGTATATGTGCACCAAGTTCTTGCAATAATAATTTCGTCATCACTTCATCCCAACAAATTCTATTACTGTCTACAAAATTTAAATGAAACATGTTATAAAAATTAACAAAATTTACTATTATAAAATTGCAATTAACTTGATTACTTACCATTATCGACCATAGGTTGTATTTCTTCTATTTCCTTTTCTGCATAATTTTTTATCTAAAATTTAAAAGTAAATTAAATAAATAAATAAAACATTTAAAAACTTATGAATATCAAAGAAGTCACTATTCATCTTTCATCAATCTAAATTAAACTTTAACTTGAGTTTGTTTTTATTGCATCTATATTGTATCTACAAATTTATATTTTTAAATAATATGTGACCAACAGCAATTAGTAATAAATAAACAGCGAGTAGTAATAGTTATAGTATAAAAGTTATATATATTATATATACATTTAATAAAAACATATAATAATTTACATATAAATTTACTTATATAGAATATAATACATATTCAAATACGTAATAATAATGCTAATTTTACATTTTCGTATATATATATATATATATATATATATATATATATATATCCCTATATTATTGAATAAATGTAATATTTACCTTCTAAAATATAATTCGCCACCTCGTTGAATACAAGGACTTACGAGGTAACCCGTTCGCTATTTGAGACACTATATGGCAGAACATGAAATACTAAAATTATAGAGAGGTAGTCATACTTTTAACCCGAAACTAGCCCAGAGCACTTCTTCGTAAGTACCTAATATGTCTCAGTATTCTGTATAATACTGTATATATACAACAAAATATTCATATAAATAAATATTAATATTAATAATAGTAAAAAAAAGGTGATTTGTTATAAATAATGAAGTGTAATTGAAATTAGAATTATATTTTATAAATAAATTCATAAAAGTATTTGATATTTATATTTACGTGGTACTTTATTAAGAACTAATCTTCCATCATAACTGAGAGATGCAAATGTCCAGGGATCAGCAGATGACCACTCTACTGCATATACACTATCTTCATGTTCTTCATATCTACCTACTAGACCATCCTCCAATCTAGAATATCATAAACATAAATTTCTTTACTTTGCTTGCAAATTAGTTATGAGATACTATTATACTATTATACATATTTATTAATTTACTTCTTTTTTCCGCAAGACTCTTCATTTTGTGAAGACTCGTCTTCAGCTGAAACCATGTGCCCAAATGGTTCAGATGAAATAGATGCGATACTGCATAATATTACTCTTGAGTCACTGCTGGATGTTAAAACAAGCTGATCGTGAAAACGATTGATTCTTATATTCCACACCCAGTGTGAGTGTTCCATACGTGAAAGCACCGGTTCTGTCGGAAATCGAATGTCCCAGAATTTCATATACCCATCATCACCACAAGTGGACAGAAAATATTGACGATTCGCATTGAAATCTAAATCCCTTATAAACAAATCAAATATTAGATGAAGAGTTGAAGCAAATGGATTTAATTTCACTTTTATATGTTTATTACCTAATGATTTGTGAATGTGCAGATAAAATAGACCAAGTGACATTAGCTGGATTTCTAAAATCCCAGCCACGTACATTGTTCTCATTTAAGGTTACAAATTGATTGGCTCCATTGTGGGGATTCCATTTACCATTTGTGAAACGTGGTTGACCTTTGCTTTCTAGAGTACCTGATGCTACAACCTAAACAAAATACAGGAAAATTATCAAATGAATAGAATTTTTTTACTTTTTGACAAAGATAAATATAAAATAAAATAATAACAAAATCTTAATGTTGTGATTATTGAACATATTAATACTTGTGGTCCTTCATTTGACAAATCCCATAAAACAAAATTGTTATCTACTACAGAAACTGTTTTTTTGCTATCTATAGGATGATAAGCAATAGTTTTAAGATCAGTGCCATATGGAGTTGTATCAATATCTGCTAGTTTATTGAGTTGCAAAATATCATTAGTATAATCTCTTATCTCAGGAAATTGCCAAACAGCTCCTTTCATTTGGCAAATACCTTCCTCTGAAAAGATAAAGGTTGTTTAAATCACAAACAAATGTTTTTTCATACCTTGAATCATAAAACAAAATTATTAAGTATTGTTTAATATATTTATCTTTAGATTTTGAGGTGATAAGAAATATCTAAATATATATAAATTGAATATATGTAGATAATTAGATTCACTTACCACTCAAACTATTATAACATGTAATAAATATATCAGGTTCTGTTGGAGAAGCTTGTATAGACCAAATTTCTCCTATTGGATGCTGAAACACTTGAGTTTTTAAATTTCCTGTTTCTTCATTAAGTTCTACCAGATGAACCTGATTGTTACTAAACTTTAAGGATTGTGTTCCTACTAGAAATCTTACGATATCAGTTTCAGCTGTTTGTGCTGACAGTGCTCTAGTCTAACATATAAAATAGTATTATATATTTCTAGTACAGGATTTTAATTTATTTAGAAAAAAACTGTTATTGAATAGTACCAATTATTTACAATGCTTAAGCATAACATTAATAAAATATATATTAACAATCAACTCGGTAAAAAGCTGTAGAATAAAGCAAAACATTTATTTAAGATTTCATACTTGAAATTCGAGCCCATATATAACAGGATTATCGTTTTCCATTTTCGTGTATTACACTTCACACACTATGCAAAACATGTAAATTTTTAAAAATCGCAAAAGAATGAAAGAACTTAAGCCAACGACACACTATGCTTATTTTCGTGCTGGTTTACTTGCTGGATGGAAATACTAGAGGCCTGAGGTTTGTTCTTTCCAGCTGAACTTCTAGTTCAAGAAGTGTATACTGGTGCGTTCTTTCTAGCAGAAGTGACGTTAGAGGTTACTGTTCTTTCCAACGGTACAGTAGAACTTATAGCTCCTGCACATAAGACGCGGTAATGTTTACCGCGCAGTGGAAGTTCGCGCGACAGCCAATCAATATGCTGCTTTCCGTAATAACCTTCTAGCTCTTACGGAAAAACAACATATTGATTGGCTGTCGCGTGGACTTTCGCCGCGCGGCAAGCATTACCGCGTCCTGTGTGCAGGAGCCATTATAGCATGTTCGATTGATTGGGTTAATCCACTCTGGATTATTCAGCCTACGTTTATTGGTCGAACAAGTACTTATAAGCTTTATGATTGGCTAGTAGAGACTTATGATATAATTAATCGTTCTCGGAGCGATTAACCCAGGGCCAGTCGAACACACTATTAGTGCAACAGTTCACTGAACTGCTTGCACTGAGCTGGAGCTAGTGCAAGCAATGCAGTGCAGTGCAAGGATTAAAATTACTGTATCAGTGCAAGTAGTTCAGGTGAAAAGAACAGACCTATGAAAATGGAAGAGATGAATATTGCAGAAATTAAAAGGAATGAAGGTGGCAATATCCCAGATAGGTTCTATGGGCAATTGAGATATATACACTAATGCAAGTATAGTAAATTCTTCATCTAAAGAATTATTTGCATCAAAAATTATGTGTTGCGCCATATTGTTTCCTGCACTATGGTATTCTTTTCCATCCAATCTGGCATGTCTGAACCTATGAACTTTTACTGTACTTGCCAGTTCCAATTCCGAACTAGTGCAGTTCTAATGCAGCACTAGTTCAGTTGAAAAGAACAAACTTCTGTTCTTTGTAGCTGCACTGCTGAACTGGTACAATAAGTTAGAATGAGAAAAAAATATACTTGTTTCACTTTAACTTATTACACCAGTTCAGCAGTGCAGCTGAAAAGAACAGACCAAAATATACGTTTTCTCACTCTAACTTATTGCACTAGTTCAGCAGTGCTTGTACTGGCTTGTACTCATAGACATAAAGATCGTTCTACATTAGTTGCAAGCCGATTGCAAATAGATGCAATTCTTATTACGATAGCCAATCAGAAGCATCAATGGTGCTATTGACGCTTCTGATTGGCTGTCGCAACAAGAGTTGCAATCGACTTATGCAGGATTTACACCACGTCCGATATCCGACGTACGACATCCCATAGGAGAACAGCTTTCTAATATACAGGGTGTAAAAAAATTAGACCGACAAACTTTGAGGGGAAATAGAGGATATAAAAACAAACATATTTTGTTAATAACGTTTTTCTCAACAACGCTTCGTTTTAATACTACAGGGTACAAAATAGGAATTTTATGATTTTAATAAAAAACATGAAAACTCTCCTTTATGAGACACCTGTTGAAATAGAAGCAGAATTAGTAGCCCGAATTACTGCTGTAGCATATCAGTAGGCCTATTCTCTAATTTCTTAACGACAATGCCATTAGCCTAGGTGTCGTTACGGAGATTTAACGACACTGTAACGAAAAATGGTATTCTGTAATTTTTCTTAACGATAAATATCGTTAAAAATGTCGATAAAATATCGAATTGTGAGATATCGAGGGGTCCCATCGATGAGCAATAACGACAATATAACTAGGTATAACGATACTCCAAGTAGTAGGAAAGTGTGGCTCTAAGTTTGTACGTCGGCTCTACAGTTGCCGACTACTGACTTTTTCTTTTCTTAATTTTTGTATCTTTTCAGATACCTT